AGAGAGGTCTTTTCCCAGCCATGATACCTGAGGACCAAACCTGGGACCTCTGGCATGCCAGGCTGGCGCTCTGCCACTGAGTTGTGTGCAACTTTTAGAAAGTAAAGACGCTCTCCAGGCAATATTTGTTGCCGGACCCTCAGTGCTTGCTAAATCCTAGTGATCCCTCCGTCTTTCCACCCCCGCCTCCTCTTGCCCTGTTATCCAGGTCCCCTCACCATCCACTGTGAAAAGGAAGAGAACGGTGTCGAGCTCTGTCAATGACGGGAGGATTGTTTTCACAAAATCTTCTTCAGAGAAAGCAAATTTTGGTCCCTGCCAAGGAAAAGTCAGAAGAAAGCTGTCAAGACACCCGATGACATTGTATATGACACATTGGGCCAAGAAATGTACCAAGCGGATTGTTCTCTATTTGGTCAAGGCATCACATTCCATAGTGAGTAATAAGCCAAGAATCTGAATAATGCGGGCTGGATCCCACAGCTCAGAGCCACGGATGGCAGCATTTTCCTCTGCCACAAGAAGCCTCCCCCTGACTCAAGTGACTTGAAAAGCACCTCGAGCAGCAGGGGAAATTTCCTTGCAGCAGGGGAAAGTACAAAATTAGGGATTGGGTCTGTGAACTCCTATCTTAGATTTATTGGGATAAGTTTTTGGATATGCTTCCTTTCAGATCAAGATGGGTAGCTGTGTTAGTCTGCCTGTAGTGGTAGAAAAGAGCAAGAGTCCAGTCGCACCTTAAAGACTAACAAAATTTGTGGCAGGGTATTAGTTTTCATGAATCACGGCTCACTGTATCTGAAGAAGTGAGCAGCAGCTCACGAAAGCTCATCCCCTGCCACATTTTGTTAGTCTTTAAGGTGCTACTGGACTCTTGCTCTTTTCTCCTGCTTCGGGAGTCAGGTCAGCCAATATCATAATGCCCCTATAAAAATCAATGGTGCGACCTCATTTGGGATACTGTGTGCAATTCTGGTCACCACACCTTAAAAAGGATATTACAGCTTTGGAAAAAGTGCAGAAAAGGGCAACTCGAATGATGAAAGGGTTGGAACACTTTCCCTATGAGGAAAGGTTAAGGCGCTTAGGGCTCTTTAGCTTGGAGAAACAACGACTGAGGGGAGACATGATTTAGGTTTATAAGATTATGCATGGGAAAGAGCAGGTAGAGAAAGCTCCCTTTCTCACAATACAAGAACTCGTGGGCACTCCATGAAATTGCTGAGCAGTCGGGTTAGAATGGATAAAAGGAAGTCCTTCTTCACCCAAAGAGTGATTAACACATGGAATTCACTGCCACAGGAAGTGGTGGCGGCTACAAGCATGGACGGCTTCAAAAGGGAATTAGATAAGCATATGGAGCAGAGGTCCATCAGTGGCTATTAGCCACAAGGTATAGATAGGGGCTCTGGGGCAAGTGATGCTCTGTCATCTTGGTGCTTGGGGGGGTCAACAGAGGGAGGGCTTCTAGTGTCCTGGCCCCACTGGTGGACCTCCTGATGGCACTGGTATTTCTGGCCACTGTGTGACACAGAGTGTTGGACTGGATGGGCCTTTGGCCTGATCCAACATTGGCATCTCTTATGTTCTTATATTCTTATGTTAATGGTTTTTGGGTTTCCATCGAAGTACAAAGAGAAGGGATCGGAGCCCCTTCCCCCCACTGGCTGCCCTGTCCGCCATTCTCCTCCAGCCACTCACCTGTGCTATGAGGTCAGCCTCTCTGTTAAACATTTCACTGTGATCCCCGATAAGGAAGCCCCGCACGTCATTGATGTCTGTGCCACAAATTGACAAACAAGGAAGTGAGTTTTCAACTTCCATAAAAGAGGGGGTGTCCCACACCCTCACCGTGGGCCTGTTTTCACTGCAAGCTCTTCCCAATTGTCCATAACCTCCCCCCCTCCCCCCGCATATTCTATATAACAGAGCTGGTAAGCAAAGATATTTCTTTCCTTTCTGTCCTTTAATGAATCTGTTCTTATAGCCAATGGCTTGGAACAGCTCACATTGATACACCAGATAAATTAAAAATCAACTAAATATCAATCCTTCTATTTTTACATTTAATAGTAATTAAAAAAAAACTTTACTACTGCCTGGGTAGTTTCAACTTCCGTTTTGGCCAATAATGTAGCAGTCCTTTGTGGGGAAGGTAACACTGCTGCCTCGTTTACAAAAGGGGAGATCCAGCACTGTCTGACAGAAATAAACAGGGCACATTCAAATAAACAACGTTCTAGGGTGGCAGTCTTTCCTGTTGCGCAGTCACAAAGCCTGTCTGAGAAAGGAATCCTTCCTTGATGGCCTATCATTTCTTCCAAAGGGACGGCATTTAGTCGAGCCAACATAAATAGTCTCCTATATTTGGGTACTGTCAAAAACTCAAAATATAATGGCGAAGAGTAAGCAAAGATATGCCGGAGGGCCCTACACACACCTAACACTTCTCTTCCCATTATCCAGCCCCTCTTCCCTAGGATGGTGGGGCTCACCTGCCCCAAAGGTGGGGATGCACTCTGCTCCGTCCATGATGGCAATGATGCCCAATGTGTGCCACCCTACCATGTACACATAGGCCTTCTTCTGTAGGCTGGGAGGGAAGGAAGGAAGGAAGGAAGGAAGGAAGGAAGGAAGGAAGGAAGGAAGGAAGGAAGGAAGGAAGGAAAAGATTTTAATTATTTAGACATTTAGACCTTGCTTTTTTCTCCAATGGGTACCCAAAGCAGCTTATAATACTGTCATTTCCTCCTCTGTTCTATCCAACCAATAACACCCCTGTGAGGTAGGTTAGGGTGAGAGTCTGTGACTGGCCCAAGGGTTAGGGTTAGCATCCATGGCAGCGTGGGGATTTGAACCTGGGTCTCTCAGCTCCCAATCCAGCACTCTAACCTAACCACTACACTAGGTTGCTCACACAAGCGGAGACACCCAGACCAGTGGGAAGCTCTGTTTCATAACAGAGATGTCTCTGGCCCCATTTGCAGATGCTGGCCCCTTTGCACCTGCTGAGCTTACCTGGTGCCTGCTTGCTTCACCAGGGCTGCAATCTTCTTACTCTGGCTATAGGTGACTTTGTGGGCCCGTTCGTAGGTGCGTAGAATCTCCAGAAGACACCTGCCCCGGGGGGGGGGGGGGGGGGGGGGGGGGGAGGGCTTAGCTTAGCAGGTTTTTGAGAGAGGTACCTAGGGTTGTCAACCTCCAGGTGGTGGCTGGAGATCTTCCAAAATTACAACTGATCCTTCCCCAGGCTCCACACACACCACAAATTTCCAGGATTTCCCCATCATGGAGTTGGCAACCCTATAGCAGACCCTAGACTACTGTCTTTTGCTATGTGGGACTCCCCTTGACAACGCCTACTCACTTCTCTGAGATCTCGCTGTCCTTGGAAACTGTCTTATGAGCCGTCAGCAGCAGGGTCTCCAGGAGAACCTTTGTGGCACTGCCACCCTTCATCCGCGAGGAGCCAGTGATCCCTTCAGGCTGAGAAAGGGAGAAAGCGCAGTTGATGAAGACACACACCCTCCACTGGTGCTTTGAACACACGAGGCTGCCTGATAGGGAGCCCAACCACTGGTCTCTTTGCTATGATGAGTCTTGCGGTGCCTTAAAAACCAACAGATTTGCTGCAGCATAAGCTTCTGTGGGCTAGAGCCCACATAAGAACATAAGAACATAAGAGACGCCAATGTTGGATCAGGCCAAAGGCCCATCTAGTCCAACACTCTGTATCACACAGTGGCCAAAAATACCAGGTGCCATCAGGAGGTCCACCAGTGGGGCCAGGACATTAGAAGCCCTCCCACTGTTGACCCCCCCCCCCAAGCACCAAGATGACAGAGCATCACTTGCCCCAGAGTCCCTATCTATCTATACCTTGTGGCTAATAGCCACTGATGGACGTTGCCAGATGCAGTGAATGGCTCCGTATGGTCAGCTGATCATTTCTCAGCTGGTGCTGGCGGGTGAGGGATGTTCCCCAGATGGCTTTGTTTAAGCATCCAGGGGAGCCTGGGGAAGCTGACCCACCCAGCTGAGCAACTGGACAGAGATATGTGTGTGTGTGAACAGGCAGGTAAAGAGCAGGTGTAGAAAGAAGCAGACCGGAGGAACTTGGCTGAAGCACCCAGGGGGGCTGCAGGATCTCTCTCTCCGCCCCTTCCTCTCATGCGACCTGCTGTGGGGCAGCGGTAGAGCTGCCAGCTCCAGGTTGGGAAATACCTGGAGATTTTGGGGGTGGAGCCTGAAGAGGGCAAAGTTTGGGGAGGGGAGGGGCTTCAGTGGGGTATAGCACCATAGAGTCCACATACCAAAGCAGCCATTTGCTCCAGGTGAGCTGATCTCTGTCACCTGGAGATGAATTGTAATAGCAGACGATCTCCAGCCACCACCTGGAGGTTGGCAACCCTTGGTAGTGGATCTGTATCAAGTTCCTTTTTCCCTATACCTGCACTTGTATGTTTGCAAAGGAAGCAAATATAAGACACCCGCCATAATTCTCTGGTGCATTGCGATCCAAAGAAAACCAACCCAGTACTGTCCTTGGAACTTCTCACTGCTTGAACAAGTGGGCGCTCATAAACAATATTTTCAAGCATGCTTCTCCATGGCGAGTAACCACACCATCTTGTGTGGGATTTCTCAGCCAATTCTAGCCAGGTGGTTGTCAAAACTAATTACTTGAAAAGTTACAAACATGCTCCCTAAATTTCCTTTCCTGGATATAAACAAATATGAAGAGGGTATAAGTTAGAAGTCGGATAGGGAAGGTAAGACACTCACTTTCTCCATGGGGGTCTGGCCTATCTGCATTTGGCTTGAGCCCCTGATCAGCCCTTCCCGCTCTCAGTGACGGTGCCTGTTCTTATAACCTCCATGAAGGAGGATGCTTTGAAATCCACCAAAGACTGCACAAAGTTGTATCCCACCACAAAGGAGGGTTTACACAAAAACACTGTGTAATAATAGGTGATTTTAACTACCCACACATTGATTGGGTCAATATGTGTTCTAGTCGGGAAAAAGAGATTGAGTTTCTAGACACTCTAAATGACTGTGCTATGGAGCAGATGGTCACGGAACCTACCAGGGGAGAGGCGATCCTTGATTTGGTCCTAAGTAACACTCAAGACCTGGTGAGAGATGTAAAAGTGATTGCACCGCTTGGAAACAGTGATCATAATGTTGTTGAGTTCATCATTTGTACAAATAGAGAATTGGCCAAAAAGACTCACACAACCATTTTTAACTTTAAAAGGGGTAATTTCTCTGATATGAGGGGACACGTGGGGAGGAAACTGAAAGGAAAAGTAGAAAGGGTCAAAACAATTGGGGAAGCTTGGGATCTATTTAAAACTACGATCCTAGAAGCTCAAAAAATATATATTCCGCAGGTTAGGAAAGGCACAAAAAGGTATAGGAAAAAGCCTGCATGGTTAACAAACAGAGTAATGGAGGCTGTAAAAAGTAAAAAGAATTCCTTTAAACAGTGGAAAGCTAGTCACAGTGAGGCTGATAAAACGGAACACAGGTTATGGCAAATAAAATGCAAGTCTGAGGTCAGGCAGGCAAAAAGGGAATATGAGGAGTATATAGCAAAAAACGTAAAAACCAACAATAAAACTTTCTTCAAATACATTAGAAACAGGAAACCAGCCAGGGAGGCAGTGGGGCCCTTGGACGACCAAGGGGTAAAAGGAGTATTGAAGGATGATAGGGAAATGGCTGAGAAGCTAAATGCATTTTTTGCCTCCGTCTTCACTGTGGAAGATGAGAAGTGCTTGCCCACTCCAGAACCACTGATTTCAGGAGGGGTGTTGGAAGACCTGAGTCAGATTGAGGTGATGAGAGAGGAGGTCCTAAAACTGATAGACAACTTAAAAACTGAAAAATCACCAGGCCCAGATGGCATACATCCGAGAGTTCTGAAAGAACTCAAATGTGAACTTGTAGATCTCCTGACAAAGATATGTAATCTTTCCTTAAAATCTGCCTCCATTCCTGAGGATTGGAAGGTAGCTAATGTCACTCCCATCTTTAAAAAGGGTTCCAGAGGAGATCCGGGAAATTACAGGCCAGTCAGTCTGACGTCGATACCGGGTAAATTGGTGGAAACCATTATTAAGGAAAGAATTAGTAGGCACATAGATGAACAAAACCTATTGAGGCAGACTCAGCACGGTTTCTGTAAGGGAAGATCTTGTCTCACTAACCTGTTAGTGTTCTTTGAGGGGGTGAACAAACATGTGGACAAGGGGGATCCAATAGATATTATTTACCTTGACTTCCAGAAAGCTTTTGATAAAGTTCCTCATCAAAGGCTCCTAAGTAAGCTCAAAAATCATGGGATAGAAGGACAAGTCCTTTTATGGATCAAAAACTGGCTAGTTCATAGAAAACAGAGAGTGAGTGTAGGTGGGCAATTTTCTCAGTGGAGGGTGGTAAGCAGTGGGGTACCGCAGGGATCAGTACTTGGTCCACTGCTTTTTAACTTGTTCATTAATGATTTGGAGATGGGAGTAAGCAGTGAAGTGGCTAAATTTGCGGATGATACAAAGTTGTTCAGGGTGGTGAAAACCAGTGAGGATTGTGAGGCACTCCAAGGGGATCTGTCAAGGATGGGCGAGTGGGCGTCAACATGGCAAATGGGGTTCAATGTGGCCAAGTGCAAGGTGATGCACATTGGAGCCAAAAATCCTAAATATAAATACACATTGATGGGGTCTGAACTGGCAGAGACTGAGCAAGAGAGAGATCTTGGAGTTGTAGTGGATAACTCACTGAAAATGTCGAGACAGTGTGTGACTGCAATAAAGAAGGCCAATGCTATGCTGGGGATTATTAGGAAGGGTATTGAAAACAGATCAGCCAATATCATAATGCCCCTATATAAATCAATGGTGAGACCTCATTTGGAATACTGTGTGCAGTTCTGGGCACCACACCTTAAAAAGGATATTATAGCTTTGGAAAAAGTGCAGAAAAGGGCAACTCGAATGATAAAAGGGTTGGAACACTTTCCCTATGAGGAAAGGTTAAAGCGCTTAGGGCTCTTTAGCTTGGAGAAAAGACGACTGAGGGGTGACATGATCGAGGTTTATAAGATTATGCATGGGAAAGAACAGGTAAAGAAAGAGGTACTTTTCTCCCTTTCTCACAATACAAGAACTCGTGGGCACTCCATGAAACTGCAGAGCGTTCGGGTTAGAACGGATAAAAGGAAGTACTTCTTCACCCAAAGAGTGATTAACACATGGAATTCACTGCCACAGGAAGTGGTGGGTGCTACAAGCATGGACGGCTTCAAAAGGGAATTAGATAAGCATATGGAGCAGAGGTCCATCAGTGGCTATTAGCCACAAGGTATAGATAGGGGCTCTGGGGCAAGTGATGCTCTGTCTTCTTGGTGCTTGGGGGGGGTCAACAGTGGGAGGGCTTCTATTGTCCTGGCCCCACTGGTGGACCTCCTGATGGCACTGTTATTTCTGGCCACTGTGTGACACAGAGTGTTGAACTGGATGGGCCTTTGGCCTGATCCAACATTGGCGTCTCTTATGTTCTTATGTTTCTTTGGTGGTGGTGGCTACCGAAGAGGAAGACCTCAAAGCTCATGAGGGAGAGCGTTGTGGAGCAGTGAGGGATTTCTATTGGGAAGAGTGGGTTTCCCTTAACCACAACAACTTCCCTCCTAGCTTCTGAGGGCGGCCGGGCCTCGATCACTTGCGTAAGGGCTGATTGCCCAAGCTGGGAGTGGGGGTGGACTGGCAGATGGAAATCTTACAAGGCCTGCCAGCTGCCAAGCTTTCCCTCCAAATGCCAGCCTCCGCTACAAGTGTGAGGACCTCAAATAAATCCAAATTTTGACAGACGTCACCTCCCCTGCCCAAAAGTAGCATGGATGGGAGTTCGTAGCAGGAAGCCCTCCTATGCACCCTCTCATCACCTACCCCCACCGCAGGGTTGAGGACAAAGGCCTTATGGGATTCCTGCAGCTTCTCCATCCGCTCAGCCACCTGCCGGAAGGTGGAATGAAAATCTTCAATCCTCTCATTCCTGTGGGGAGATGTGGGGTGTGAAAGACTAGTTCAACTAGGGCACAAAATAACAACCTTTCAAGAGGGTTCGCCTTCTGCTGCGGCCATACATCTCAGCCCTTATAAGATTTGCCTCAATTTTTAAAAGAAATTGGTAGTTTCTTTTAAAAAGTGAGAGAACCAAACAAAGTCAATATTTGAACGTGGCACATATGCCCATATTAAAACGTCCTCAGACTTTTCAGGCTGAAGGCAAACCAAGCTGGCTGAAAGAATTATCGAATCACAGAGTTGGGCCATTGTTGTTCAGTCGCACAGTCAAGTCTGACTCTTCGGGACCCCATGGACCACATCATGCCAGGCTCTCCTGTCTTCTGTTGTGCTCCGGAGTTTGCTTAATTTCATGTTCGTTGCCTCAATAACACTGTCTAACCATCTCATCCTTTGCCATCCCCTTCTTCTTTGGCCTTCAATCTTTCCCAGCATCAGGGTCTTCTCCAGTGAGTGCTCCCTTCTCATTTGGTGGCCAAAGTATTTGAGCTTCAGGTTCAGTATCTGGCCTTCCAGGGAACAGTCAGGGTTGATTTCTTTTACGATTTGATCTCCTTGCAGTCCAGGGGACTCTCAAGAGTCTTCTCCAGCACCATAATTCAAAAGAATCTATTCTTCGGTGCTCGGCCTTCCTTGTAGTCCAACTCTCGCAGCCATACAGTGCTACTGGGAATACCATTGTTTTGACCATATGGACTTTTGTTGGCAGGGTGATGTCTCTACTTTTTATTATGCTGTCAAGGTTTGCCATCGCTTTCCTCCCAAGTAGCAGGCATCTTTTAATTTTATGGTTGCAGTCACCATCTGCAGTGATCTTGGATCCCAGGAACGGGAAGTCTGTCACTGCTTCCACGACTTCTCCTTCTATTTCCCAAGGAGTGGTGGGGCCGGATGCCATGATCTTAGTTTTTTTGATGTTGAGTTTCAAGCCAACCTTTGCCATCACCTCCACTAGCTTTGTTGTTAGTAATGCTTTCTAAGGCCCATTTGAGTTCGGATTCCAGGATGTCTGGTTCAAGGTCAGTGATTACACCATTGTGGTTGTCAAGGACATTGAGGTCCTTCTTGTATAGTTCTTCTGTGAGGCCATACAGGCCATCTAGTCCAACCCCCTGCTCAATGCAGGATCAGCCTAGAGCATCCCTGACAAGTGTTTGTCCAGCCACTGCTTAAGGACTGCCAGTGAGAGGAAGCTCACCACCTCCCTAGGCAGCTGATTCCACTGTTGCACAACTCTTACTGTAAAAAAGCTTTTCCTAATACCCAGCTGGTACCTTCCCACCCTTAATTTAAACCCATCATTGCAAGTCCTCTCCTCTGCTGCCAACAGGAACAGCTCCCTGCCCTCCTCTGAGTGACAGCCCTTCAAATAGTTCAAGAGGGCAATCATGTCCCCCCCTTAACCTCCTCTTATCCAGACTGAACATTCCCAAGTCCCTCAGCCTTTTCTCATAGGGCTTGGTCTCCAGGCCCCCGATCATCCTCACTGCTCTCCTCTGTACCTGCTCCATTCTGTCTACATCCTTTTTGAAGTGAGGCCTCCAGAACTGCACACAATACTTCAGGTGCGGCTGAACCAATGCAGTGTACAGCTGTGCTCACTCCCCAGTCCCCTTTGGACCTGTTAAGACAGAGAGCCTTGCCCCATCTTGAGTGAGACTAGGATTGCCAAACTCCAGGTAGGACCTGGAGATCTCCCAGAACAGCAACTGAGATTGGCAATGCTGGGTTTTCAGGCTCCACCTCTTCCAGGCTGAAGGGGCCTGTTGAACATCTCTTGCCTTAAGGCCCCTGAAGCCAACTCTGGCCTTGGGTTCCAGGATCAAGAAAGCCCTCAGCCCAGGTTGGGCACCTCAGTTACTAAGCTGTTGTCCCCAGTAAACCCTTCGTTGCCTCCTTACCTGGCCATTGAGACTGGGTTGAATCCCACCAGCACTGGAACAAAGATGTCCAGGTTGTTCATGCAGAAGTCCAGCTGGCCAGCCACATAGGGGGCCTGTCAGAATCCAAGCCAAGACAGTGAGGCACCACCTTTCTCTCCCTCCCCTTCCCACCTGCAAACAGATGCTGAGCAGGTTCAACTTCAATATCAAGTTGGCCCTAACTTAGACCCCACCCCACCCATTATACCATATCCAGGATTGTGCCACAATCACCTTTTTCCCACCCATATTTCCTTTTATAAATCTGGATCTCCAGTACGGGAAACTCAGAAACCGGCACACACCCCAGAAGGCAACAGCTTGCTGGCACATCTGTCTGCCACCTGTGCAACAGGGCTATGCTGTGGCCAAGTTATCCATGTGTCTTCCCTCCCTCAAATCCTCATGCTCCCTTTGAGGCAGGCCAGGCTGGGCTGGCAAGACGTTTGGGGCAAGGGGTCAGAAGTGGTGGCCAGTGGGGAGCTGAATCCAAGAGGGTGGGGACTTCCTTGGCTTTGGCATCTGCTTCCCTCTGCCACATCATTTCAGAAAGGGTCACGAGCAGATCTGTTCTTCATGCTTGCTGCATTCTTCCAAAGGACTGGGGACTCCTTCCCACTCTTCCTGGCCCTAATCAGGAGCCTTGAACGGCACCTTCTCTCCCCTCCCCCCAAGCCCTAAATGAGTTACTCACAGACAAGCCACATGAGATCCCAAAGAAAATGACCTTCTTCTTCCCTTCGCAGACCTGAGTGAGAAAAGAGTGGGGTGGGGTGTCAGTCCTTGCTGCCAGAAAGCCCCTGCTGTGCCACCCCTCCTCCCCTCTCTAGGAAGGGTTCTACATCTCATTCCAGGGATGGAGCACCCACCATCTTTGCTGTACAGGGTGATGGGGGAGTGGGCATGGAACTTCCTGCCATGTTCATCCCCATCACTGTGTTGTGAGTGTGGTGGTGCAGTGTGATAAGCAATCCTGCAGATGACTGCTGGGAATCCTTACAGCAAGGATCAAGGGTGTGAACACACACAAAGCTGCCTTAAACTGAATCAGATCTTTGGTCCGTCAAAGTCAGTAATATCTACCCAGGCTGGCAGCAGCTCAGGCAGAGGTCTTTCACAACACCTACTTCCTGATCCTTTTTTAAACGTGAGAAGCCAGGTATTGAACCAGGGACCTTCTGCATACCAAGCATTCTCTGCCATGAAGCTAGAAGCCCTCCCAACCTTTTGTTGTGGTTGTCATCAAAGTGCAACCAACCTATGACAGCCCCATAAGGTTTTCAGAGCAAGAGACATCCAGAGGTGGTTTGCCATTAATTGCTTGCCTCCGCGTAGTGATCGTGGTATTTCTTAGTGGTCTCCCACACAAATACTAACCAGGGCCAACCCTTCTTAGCTTTCAAGATCGGACAAGATTGTGTTAGCCTGGGCTATCCAGGTTGTGTTGTGTTGCTCTTCTACTGTTTGCACCTTTTGTGTATGGCAACTTTGGCCTAACTACTTCTGTCTTTCTGAAAACAGGTCTTTGCTTGTTGGGACCTGTGTTCCCTCTAAGCTGAGTTAGTGTGAGCTAGCTCACAGTTTTTTAGCCTCTGGCTCACACATTTTTGTCTTCGCTCAGGAAGGATGGCTCCAGAGCAAGCTAATTGATGCAGTAGCCAAATCGCTGGCTCACAACTTTAATGCCAGGAGCTCACAAAGTAGAATTTTTGCTCACAGGACTCCATAGCTTAGAGGGAACATTGGGACCTGAAGGGCTATGTGGCTTCACAGTGTGGGACTGATCAGCTCTCCTTGCGAAAGGCAGCAAGGGGCCCTAGGGTTACCCTCAGGGTTCTCTTTGTCAGCATCTGTACTTCAGACAGGCTTATCTGTATGCCACTTCTGGGGATCAGAAGGACTACCTGGGTCTAGATACTGGTAGACCACTCTGTGCCTTACACGACACACCTCCTCACAACAGTCTCACCTTGTTCAGATCCGCTATGCCCAGGAGCGCACTGTCCTCTGGACCCTCATGTGACGCTACAAGAGACCTGTGAGAAGACTGTAGACTGTGAGGGCCTTTGCAATCTCTCAAACACAATCCCGCAGACAAGAACCCCAGCCAATCCCCTCACACACAAAATGGAATCCCTTCTCCAACTGAAAGGGGCGAACCCCCAAATGGGAGTGCCACAGATCTCACATACCGGATTAGCAACCCATGTAAGCCCCAAAGTGGCCATTTTTCCTCACTCTCACCTGTCTCCCCCAGCAATGATGTATGTGTATTGTGGCGGCTGCCCCAGGCCCTTCAGAAGCTTGTTAAACGACACCTGGGAGAGAGACACAGAAAAAGACAGAGTAAGAAGGCTGTACTACTACTTTGGCCACCAAATGAGAAGGGAGCACTCACTGGAGAAGACCCTGATGCTTGGAAAGATTGAAGGTCAAAGAAGACGGGGACGGCAAAGGATGAGATGGTTAGACAGTGTCATCGATGCAACGAACATGAAGTTGAGCCAACTTCAGAGGACGGCAGAAGACCGGAAGGCCTGGAGAGAGCTCGTCCATGGGGTCGCGAAGAGTCGGACTCGACTGTGCGACTGAACAACAACAACTACCCACATGCATTCCTCCTAACTAAGAGAGACAGGAGGCTACTATTCAAAAGATCTTTACGGATTCCCTGGCAGTTCCCTAGCACTCCTGTACACTTACCAAGCCTTTCAAGAATGTATTTATTTAAATATTTATACCCCTTCTTTCTTTTGTGGCTCAAAACAGTTTACAAATCCAGATTTAAAATGTATAAAATCAAAGCCCTTTTCCCAGCTCTTTTTTTGTGTGTGTGTGTGAAGGCACTAAACCACTGGGGCAGCATATATAGCCAGGGTGGAGTCGGGGTCAGAGTGTTGGGATAGAATCACAGAATCATAGAGTTGAAAGGGACGTCCAGGGTCATCTACTCCAACCCCCTTCACAATGCAGGAAATTCACAAATACCTCCCCCCCCCCACCCCCAGTGACCCCTATTCCATGCCCAGAAGGCAAAAAACCAACAACCCTGCAGGATCCCTGGCCAATCTGGCCTGGAGAACAATAGCTTCCTGACCCCCCAAAGTGGCGATCAGCATTTTCCTGTGCGTGTAAGAAAGGGCCACGAGAACTAAGCGCTGATGCAAACTTTCCTGCCCTCCCTTCCCGTGATTTGCCTAAGTTTACAAAATCAGCAGTGCTGTCAGATGGCCCTCTAGCCTCTGTTTCAAAACCTTCAAAGAAGGAGAGCCCACCATCCCCCAAGGAAGCCTGTTCCAATGAGGAACCACTCTTAACTGTCAGGAAGTTCTTCCTAATGTTTAGCCGAAAACTCTTCTGATTTAATTCCAACCTGTCGGTTCTGGTCTGACCTTCTGGGGCAAGAGAAAACAACTCTGCGCCATCCTCTGCATGACAGCCCTTCGAGTACTTGAAGATGTTTATCATGTCACCTCTCAGTCATCTCCTCTCCAGGCTAGGACTGGGGAGAGCTGGGTTCAGCTCCCTAATCTGCCACAAAGCTTACGCTGATGATTTAGGCCAGTTATTTTCTCTGACTTATCTTAGGGTTGCCAGCTCTGGGTTGGGAAATACCTAGAGATTTTGGGGGTGGAGCCTGAGGAGGGTGGGGTTTGGAGAGGAGAAGGACTTCAATGGGGTATAATGCCATAGCGTCCACCTTCCGAAGCAACCATTTTTCTCTGGGGGAACCAATCTCTGTTGCCTGGAGATCAGTTGTAATCTCAGGAGATTGCCAGTCACCACCTGGAGGTTGGCAAGCCTGCCTATCGTGCAGGATTGTTATAGGAAAAATTAAGGAGGGGAGAATGACATATGCCTCCCTAACCTCCCTGGCAGAAGGGCAGAGTAACAATCAAATGTATAAATAAATGATAGGACTGCACCAATAATTGATGACCCTGATGCGACTCTTGAAGAGTTTCATTTATGGAGAGGATGTATTCTATGGATTTATTAAACAACAGCTTGCGGGAAGATAAAGTTACAGGAAATCAGATGTTATGTTGGTTTACAGATTTGCTGATAAAACAGCTATTAGCCCCTTTTGAAGAAATTATGTCTGATGAGAAAAAAATTAAAATGCAAAGGTCCGATAAAATATCATTGTGAAAGGGAGCAAGTAAAAATTGGTGACATGGGACAAAGCTCGGGGCAAAATATAAATGTTGAGCTCCGACAATTTCAGTATTAGTTTCTTGTATTATAATGATTTAAAGAAGAATGGCTGCAGGGGTATGGCTGTATAGTATATCGTGCAAAAAAAGAGATTGCATAAAATCCAAGGTCATTTCCACTTTCTGAATTGGAAATGCAAAAGTCAATTAGGATTTTTAAATCTATGGTTATCCTGCTTATGTGCAAAGGTTAAAATACGTAAAGCAAACCAAAGAAGCCTTACTTCTTACTTTTTATTATACTAAAAATAACCCCAACCCTGGAAAAGTAATCAAGATTTATAACTACAGAAAGAATTTTTCAAAGTAAGCCTTGGAAGGAAGATAGCACACTCAGAACTGAGGCACAGGAGGGAAGGTGCAGATATAAGCATGTATGGTCAAAATAATTCACTGCACAAGGATAGAGGAAGGAGGGCAAAAACATAATCTATGTAAAGAAAACTGGAAACCAGTTTTTTTCTAAAAAACTGGAAACCAACGATAGGGTTGCCACGCATGTCGCGGGGACCGGGGGGGGGGGGGGATAGTGTTGGCAGATCCGGGTAGATTTGGGGGTTGGAGCCCGAGGGAGGGACAGGAACCTCAGTGGGGTACAGTGCCAGAGAGTCCACCTTCCAAAGCATCCCTTTTCTCCAGGGGAACTGATCTCTGTAGTCTGGAGATGAGCTGTAATTCTGGGGGATCCACCTAGAGGCTGGCATCCCTAATTGGTATTGAAGACCCTTCCAAAACTATATCTGGTACAAAATGCTGCTGTGAGAAGCCTCAGTGGGATGCGCTGCAAGGTTGACCCCAGTGGTACTTTAAATGCATAGGCTTCTAATTTGTTTCCAGGCTCAATTCAGGATGCTTGTTTCGACCATCAGAGCCCGAAACGGATTGGCCCCAGGGTTCTCAAAGGACCACCTCTACTTGTATTAAACCAGCCTATTATTATTATTATTATTATTATTATTATTATTATTATTACCCCATCCCAGCTCGCTCTGGGCGATGCACAGGACACAGTGCCATAAAATACAAAGTTCAAAACATTAAAAATTTATGCACAGTATTCATATGCTGACAACCATAGGCGATACCTTTGAGAAATGGCCTTATTGTTGGTCCACAGGGACTCATGCTTTCTCAGCTATCACCCCACAGTTGTAAGATCCCTAGGAGCTGAGATCTGGCACTGGCCTTCCAGGAATATATTGAAGACTTTCTCATTCTGCAAGAAGGGCCCACCCATCCACTAGGCAAACCGAGGCAATCGCCTAGGGTGCCAGAGCTGGGGAAGGGGAGAACCAAAAGAGTTAAAGGGCCTCAGGAAGCCTCGGACGTCCAGGGTGCAGGGGAGAGAGGGAGCTGAACCGGCATTCTTCCTATGCTTTGTCTACCATGCTTACTCAGAAGTCAATCCCACTATGTTTAATGGGATTTACTCCCAAAGTAAGCATGTTCAGCCTTTGGAATGAGTTGATTGATGTTTCGTTATTTTTGTAGAAGAGCAGGTTTTTATACCCCACTTTTCTCTACCTAAATATAGGGATGCCAGCCTCCAGGTGGGATCTGGGGATCACCTTGAATTACAGCTCATCTCCAGGCTACAGAGATCAGCTTCCCTGGAGAAAATGGCTGTGTTGAAGGGTAGACTCTAGCCCACTGAGGACCCTGTCCTGCCCAGGCTCCATCCCCAAATCTCCAGGAGTTTCCCAACCTGGATCTGCTAATCCTACCTTTCTATCCTCTGCTGGTGGCCAAGAGGGACCTGGCAAACCTATGTAACAGGCACTTTTTGAGGCAGGTGGGACTGAGAGAGTTCTGAGGGAACTGTGACTGGCCCAAGGTCGCCCAGCAGGCTTCATGCAGAGGAGCGGGGAATCAAACCCGGTTCTCCAGATCAGAGTCCGCCACTCTTAACCACTACACCACGCTGGCTCCCTGTATGTTGTCGGTACGTTGAATGGGGGGAGCACCAAAGTCATTGCTTTCCTAGGGCACCAAAAACCCTTGAGCCTGCCTTCTCCAGAAAACCTTTGAATTAGATACAGTGATTGCGATGGGGCTTAACAATTCCCTTCAGTCTTGTTATTGATCTGTTTGCTGGTCTCATGGGACTTTCGTGCATTGGTTGCACTTTAAAAAAAATCTGATTTGTAGCATATTTTACATTCCGACTTGATGGCTGCCTTGAAGATCCATGAAGAGGGGGAAATGCACCATAAAAGAACACTAAAGACATAAAATATTCTGCATCTGTTCGATTTGCTGTAATATATTACATTATGTCCTTGTGTTTGGGATCTGTATGATACAGAGGTCGCTAACCTTTTCCTCAATGAGAGCCAGTTCTGAGTAATGAAAAATATCCTTATATATATATATCTGTGTTAATGTATAAAATTGGCTCTCGCAATCTTTTCCAGAGTCTTCTAGGGGCTGCACATGCTACCTTTCAATTTGGTGTAGTGGTTAAGTGCGCGGACTCTAATCTGGGAGAACCGGGTTTGATTCCCCACTCCTCCACGTGCATCTGGCTGGATGACCTTGGGCAAGCCATGGTTCTGATAAGAGCTGTTCTTGAAAAAGAGCAGTTTCTGTCAAGAGGTCTCTCAGCCCCACCTACCTCACAAGGTGTCTGTTGTGGGGAGGGGAAGGGAAAGGCGTTTGTAAGCCGCTCTGAGACACCTTTGGGTAGTGAAGGGCGGGGTATAAATCCAATCTCTTCTTCTTCTTCAGTTACTCTTGGTAGTCCCCAATCTACATTGGAAATAGGGTTACCAGCTCCTGGTTGGGAAAGACCTGGAGATTTTGGGGGTGGAGCCTGAGGAAGGTGGGGTTTGGGGAGGGGAGGGACTTCAGTGGGGTACAAGGCCACAGAGTCCACCTTCCAAAGCAGCCATTTTCTCCAGGGGAACGATCTCTGTTGCCTGGAGATCAGTTGTAATCCCACAAGATTTCCAACCAACCCCCCTTGGAGGTTGTCAACCCTACTTGGAGGCCTTTTAAGGCACTTTAAAAACTGCCACCTACAGATGCAGGAGGGAGGAGAGAGAGGAGATGGGAACAGGGAACTCACAGCCATGAGGAAGGCAAGCCGGCCAGAAGCTCCACCACCGCTCAGGACGATGAGGGTGCTGTCTGGTTCCTGGGGAAGGAAGAGGAGAAAAAAGAACTATTGAAGTGGGACTCCCCACCCTCAACCATCCCTGCCTTCACTGGGGCTTCCCCCCTCCCTGGCACGATTCCTGTACAGAGGCTGCCAAAATATACAAGCACACCCCTCAGTAAAGGAATGGGAACAAGAGGGCACCACCTCATTTGGCCTTTTGTGCCATGCAGTGTAAATGCCTCTGAGCATGTGAAGTGGGAATGCACCAGTGTGGTGCAGGGGTTGGGGTGCTGGATGAGGATCTGGGAGACCCAGGTTGAAATCTCCACTCTGCCATGAAGCTCACTGGGTGATCACGGGCGAGTCATTCGCTCTCAGCCTAGCCTACCTCACAGGGTTGTTGTCAGGGTAAAATGGAGGGGCACGAAACAATGTAAATGCCCTGAGTTCCTTGGAGAAAGGGTGGGAGAGATATATAGTAAACAAATCAGTGAGGTCATTCTTATCTTGACTGAGTAACCAAGCCAACTCTTAGAGATTTAGGATTAGAACACACAACTTCCATGAAGCCTCTCTTTGTCTATAGGCCAGGCCCTGGGACAATGTTATCAGCCCCAGTCAGGCAGCCCTGCTACATTTTAATCAGTGCACATTCTCCCATTCCACTAAGGATATTGTATATGACAATTAACCTCATTTGCCCGATAATATTATTATTATTAATAGTGGAACCCTCACTGAGGGCTCGCCCACTGTATCATGGAACCTGTTACTGGTACTTGGAAGACATAAACCCGGAAGGGGGCGGCTAACCCAGGTATTCACCAGGTATGTGCTGCAAGGCTGAAGGGGGAAATATTACGACCAAGCTGAGAGGCATAAGCTGGTACTAGAACATAGATCAAGGCTGTTTCTGCTTGGCTCCCTCATGATCAGAACAGACTGTGCATGAGATTGGACGGTGTTCCCTGGGCTCAGTCACCCAAGCCGTTCCAATCGTGAGAGAAATAAGAAATAAATAAATTCGAAACAGCCCTTCTCCCATTCTTTCCATTGCAGGGGCGGGGAATCCCATCAGGCAATCAGTGAAAAGGAGGAACTCTGGACAAGCAGGTAGAAGATGGACCAGTTTGTGAATTACTGTGTGAGAAGCCCAGTTTGTGTGGACACTTTTGGCCTTCAAAGCATTGTCTGCAGAACAAGATTACAGAAGTTGTTCTTCCTTGGTTTCAGAATTAAGAACCAGACTGAGTTCACTGGACTTTGGGTTCAACAACCCTGGCAGGGCAAGGGGCAGTGTTCAGTGATACAGGCCTCAAGAACCTTGTAGGGCCTAGCTACCACCCCACCCCCTCATACAACATGCACACAGCACTGTGTACATCCACCTACCATACCTTCAGCACCTCTTGAACTTTCCCAATGATGTCCATCATTGTCTTCAGCACCAAGTCACTGTACAGCCTCTGAAGGAGACACAATAGGGGCCTGAGCACCTTCTCTCTCAACACCGAGCTCACCTTGATGTCAGTCCCAGGCCAGAGGGGGCTAAGAAACCACATGGCCACATTAGGGGCACTGAACCCTTGATGAGAACAATGTGCCCTATGGAGTTCAAATGGGTCTCTGATTGGTTCTGGGCACACAGGGTTGTGAGGACAGGATGATACCCTGCAAGAGAAGAGCCCACACAATAGGGCAGGATTCCCCAGCCTTTTTGAGCCTGTCTAAATTGGCTCAGGATCCAGGCAATGGGTCACATCCTGATCTCGGGCATCGTGTGCTTGGGAGACCAAGTTACCTTATAGTTGACCAAGGCCTCATCTTCTTCCTGGAAGATCTCAGCATCACAGTCCTTAAGGAGCTGGACAATCTGCGTGGGGTCAGCTTTGTCAATTTCTCGGGTGATGGGGTTTGACTTTTCTGTGATAGGCAGGGATGCCTCATACCCTGCCAACTAGAAGACAAAAAGCGTTAAAGTCATGGGGGGGGGGAGTACTGTACAGTAAGGATGGCGCACAAAGCATGCGCGGAAGCACAAAGTGGTCCGGGCCTGGAGATGGAATTTGCGACAGCCGGAAAAAGTGGAACTGCGAAGACCTGCGCCAGAGAAGGGTCGCCGCCGGACTGTCCCCTCACAAGAAGATCTGCTACAACAGAATAAGGGTGCCTGGTAGGCTTCTCACCGTCCCTACACATATGTGGCCCTAGATTAGGATTGTATGAATTAGAATTGTAAACCGCTCAGAGCCCCTAGGGGGTGAGCGGGATAGAAGCCAAAGGATAAATAAATAAAATAAAAATAAAGGCAGTTAGCATGCCATTGCGGAAAGGACATGCAAAACATCAAACAGCTCCAATAATCACACTCACAGCCCAGCACTAGCTGCCACTTGAAATGGCAGCCGACAAAATATTTGTCCACAGTACTTTGCACAGGGTGAGTCATCCCATTCTCCAGCACAAACCCAGAGATCCACATAATTTGGAGCGTGTGTGGTGCGGTGAGGAAAAGTTGGGTGAAAACACCTCATAGAATTCAGCCCAGGCCGGATCCAGTCACTGAAGGGCACAGTACAGTTGTGTGGGTGTGTGCCCCTCTGAGCAAGAGGCAATGAAATCCAGTGTGACATAGCAGTTAGCATGTTAGGCTAGGATCTAGAAGACTTGTGTTCAGATCCTGACTCTGTCATGACATTTGCTGAATGACCTTGAACAAGCCTAAACTAACGAAGAGAATTCTTGTGAAGATAAAATTTTAAAATGACACATGTATACTGCTCTGGGCTCCCTGGCAGAATAGCTGGATGACAATGAATGAGGCTGTGTGTGTGTGTTTGTGTGTGTGTGTGTCTAATCCAAACAGAAATGGCCACTAAGAAGACGGTTTGTCACTAGTATTAACTACTAAAGATGTGCTACGTGTTGGGATTTGGACTCCTGTCAGCTATGAATAATACATTTATGTTCACCATCTTTTCTGCACTAATGACAAATGGAATAAAAGACAAAGCCAGTTATATGGGGACAACCTCCTTAAAATAACTTACAAAACAAGGCTATTGTTAAGGCCCTATGTAGCATTTAAACTAGCCAAGTTTCAACCTTTGCAGCCCACAATGAGCAAAAGCTGGATCTGAAGCACACACAAAGGTTTTGCCTAACTTCCAAGGAGCTGCTTTTGCAGTTAGCCAAGGGGGAAGAAGGGACCCTCAGATAACCTTCTAATGGGTGCCTGTGTGGGGGAGGGGGATTCATACACAAGGAGGTGCTGTCTGAGGACATTGGAGGGTTTCAGTGATTAATCCCAGTCCCTCAAATTGAGTCCAGAAACTACCTGGCTGGTAATGAAGCTACCTCAGGGCTCAACAACCTTATGTTCCCACCCCCAGATCATCCCAAAGTCTATGCAATCAAATGAGTATTGTGAGTTCTGTTCAGGCAACTGAATATCTGGCACAGATGGGCCTTTATTAGATCAGGACCCCACCATTTTGCTAACATGAAATGGTCTCAGTGGGGCTTATTTGCCCCATCAGAGGCCCCATATGCTCTAATGGGGTACCGTTTCCCCACTGGGTTAAACAGCACCCCAGGGCCATTTCTCTAGGAGGGAAAACTTCTTTTGCAATATTTATCTATTTATTTATTTAAAACATACTTATTTAAAATATGCTTGTAATTGGCCTACCGGACAGGATTGTTGCAGTTATGATAGTAATGTGACATGCTTTTGAACATGCTTGAGCCATTACGATGTTAGCACATTGACCAAGAGATTGACCAAGAGAGAGATCTTGCAGTTGTAGTAGATAACTCACTGAAAATGTCGAGACAGTGTGTGACTGCAATAAAAAGGCCAATGCTATGGGGATTATTAGGAAGGGTATTGAAAACAGATCAGCCAATGTCATAATGCCCCTATATAAATCAATGGTGCAACCTCATTTGGAATACTGTGTACAGTTCTGGTCACCACACCTTAAAAAGGATATTATAGCTTTGGAAAAAGTGCAGAAAAGGGCAACTGGAATGATAAAAGGGTTGGAACACTTTCCCTATGAAGAAAGGTTAAAGCGCTTGGGGCTCTTTAGCTTGGAGAAGTGACGGCTGAGGAGTGACATGATTGAGGTTTATAAGATTATGCATGGGATAGAGCAGGTAGAGAAAGAGGTACTTTTCTCCCTTTCTCACAATACAAGAACTTGTGGGCACTCAATGAAATTGCTGAGCGGTCAGGTTAGAACAGATAAAAGGAAGTACTTCTTCATCCAAAGAGTGATTAACACATGGAATTCACTGCCACTGGAGGTGGTGGTGGCTACAAGCATGGACAGCTTCAAGAGGGAATTAGATAAGCATATGGAGCGGAGTTCCATTGGTGGCTATTAGCCATAAGATATAGATAGGGACTCGGGGAAAGTGATGCTCTGTATTTTTGGTGCTTGGGGTGTGTGTGTGTGTGTCAATATTGTGAGGGCTCCTAGTGGCCTGGCCCCACTGCTGGACCTCCTGATATCACCTGGTATTTCTGGCCACTGTGTGACAGAGTGTTGGACTGGATGGGCCATTGGCCTGATCCAACATTGACTTCTCTTATGTTCTAATGTTCACTATGTGCAGGAGTGATATGCACTCCCTCTCCTTTGACTAGATGCTGCTACCCTGAGAGAGGTTCCTGCCTTACCAAAAGCTTTGACCCATCCAGTCATTCCAACAAACGAATAATGTTGAATCTCCTCCTCGCTCTAACAACCCGCCAGCAGTTATCCAACCTGTGCTTGAACTCTACTGTCCTCTTGAATCCTCATGGTAAATAAGATGTTGTAGTCCCAAACACCACTCAGATGAGGCAAGGGATGCTTAACAGGTGTTCCAGAAGTAGGACTTATTTTAAGACTCAGGGCATATCTGCAGCCAAGGCTGAAACTGGGACACACTGGCACCCTCACCAAACTGGGATTGCCAGTTAATCTGGTACAACACCAGTATCACTACAGAGAATAATACTGAAATGTACCGCTCGTGCTGATTATGAAAGTGGCAAAATTAGGCCACCCAAAGACAATGTGGGGTTTTCTGCATACACTGGGGACTCTCCTCAAGTATATAGAAAAATAGGAACTTGTTCATTAACCCAAAGAAAAAAGACTGTGAAACCCCCCCCTCAAAAAACCCCCAGTCTGATGATGATGGAGCACGCAACAAGAGGTACAAAATGTTGAGATGCATTGAGAGTCAAATGCAAAAGAAAACAGAGGGAACTGGGGAATAGCAGTATTCCCATTTTAGTATTTTTATCTAATAACAATAGCAATTCCCATTTTAGAAAACTGCATTGGCATAGCAGGAGAAAATGTTGGAGAAATGGCACCCAGGAAGGACTGGCAGTAAGAAAGTGGCACCGAAGTGGTTAGAGCCTTCCTGAATGAACAGTGCAAAGTAATAGAAGAAAACAATAGAATGGGAAGGACTAGAGATCTCTTCAAGAAAGTTGGAGAAATCAAGGGAGCGTTCCATGCAAAGCTGGCCATGATAAAGGACAAAAACGGTAGGGACCTAACAGAAGCAGAAGAGATTAGGAAAAGATGGCAAGAATACACAGAAGAACTATACAAGAAAGACCTCGATGTCCTTGACAACCACGACGGTATAATCACTGACCTCGAGCCAGACATCCTGGAATGTGAAGTTAAATGGGCCTTAGAAAGCATTGCTAACAACAAAGCTAGTGGAGGTGATGGTATTCCAGCTGAGCTATTCAAAGTCTTAGAAGATGATGCTGTTAAAGTGCTGCACTCCATTTGCCAGCAAATTTGGAAAACGCAACAGTGGCCACAGGATTGGAAAAGATCAGTATACATTCCAATCCCAAAGAAGGGCAACGCCAAGGAATGTTCAAACTATCGCACAATTGCACTCATATCACACGCTAGCAAGGTCATGCTCAAGATCCTACAAGCTAGGCTTCAACAGTACGTGGATAGAGAACTACCAGAAGTACAAGCTGGGTTTCGAAGAGGTAGAGGAACTAGAGATCAAATTGCCAACATTCGCTGGATTATGGAGAAAGCAAGAGAGTACCAGAAAAATATCTACTTCTGCTTCATTGACTATGCTAAAGCTTTTGACTGTGTGGATCACAACAAACTATGGCAGGTCCTTAAAGAGATGGGAGTACCAGACCACCTCACATGTCTCTTGAGAAACCTGTATAAGGGCCAAGAAGCGACAGTTAGAACCGGATATGGAACAACTGATTGGTTCAGCATAGGAAAAGGAGTACGACAAGGATGTATATTGTCGCCTTGCTTATTTAATATATATGCAGAGTACATCATGCGAAATGCTGGCCTGGATGAATCACAAGCGGGAATTAAGATTGCTGGGGAAAAGATCAACAACCTCAGATATGCAGATGATACCACTCTAATGGCTGAAAGTGAAAAGGATCTAAAGAGCCTCTTGCTCAGAGTAAAAGAGGAGAGCGCAAAAGTGGGCTTGAAGCTCAACATCAAAAAAACTAAGATCATGGCATCCGGACCCATCACTCCTTGGCAAATAGAAGGGGAAGTCGTGGAAGTAGTGACAGACTTCACGTTCCTGGGATCCCAGATCACCGCAGACTGTGACTGCAGCCATGAAATTAAAAGACGCCTGCTCCTTGGGAGGAAAGCGATGGCGAACCTAAACAGCATGATAAAAAGTAGAGACATCACCCTGCCAACAAAAGTCCGCATGGTCAAAGCAATGGTATTCCCAGTAGTCATGTATGGCTGTGAGAGTTGGACTATAAGGAAGGCCGAGCGCCGAAGAATAGATTCTTTTGAACTATGGTGCTGGAGAAGACTCTTGAGAGTCCCTTGGACTGCAAGAAGAACAAATCAGTCAATCCTCAAAGAAATCAACCCTGACTGTTCCCTGGAAGGCCAGATAATGAAACTGAAGCTCAAATACTTTGGCCACCAAATGAGAAGGGAGCACTCACTGGAAAAGACCCTGATGCTGGGAAAGATTGAAGGTCAAAGAAGACGGGGACGGCAAAGGATGAGATGGTTAGACAGTGTCAGCGATGCAACGAACATGAAATTGAGCCAACTTCGGAGGACGGCGGAAGACAGGAGAGCCTGGCGGGAGATTGTCCATGGGGTCGCGAAGAGTCGGACTCGACTGTGCGACTGAACAACAACAACGCTGTTTCTTCCAGGTGGTGTATGAAAGCAATACTGTGTTCTTCCACAAATACTGGAGCAAAACAGATTTACGGAAAAGTGTAAGAAGGCAGGGAATATCTGGAAATTAGAACATGATGTTGTATGGATGATTCCTCCCCAAAATGCTCCAGTTTGGAAGTCAAGGGGAGAAAACTCTATGCTGGAAGCAGCCAGTTGTCTTTCTTGTTCTGCAGAACCAAAGAGACTCTCATCCGATACACAGTTATACCCAAGCACACATGTCAACGCTTCATACTCTCAAATCAGATTATTATTCCACTCGTTCATTTTCTATTTGTGTTTGATTTTTATATTGCCAATCCAGTGTAAAACAAAAACGAAGTGGCACCTTTAAGACTGAGTTTATTCCAGCATAAGCTTTCGTAATTTCAACCTCATTTCTTCAGATGCATAAAATGAAATTAACAACCAGAAAGACATTCAAAGAGAAACTGACAGACAGCCAGACAGTCTAATGAACTGTATCTAAATAAAACTTTGTTTATGAAGTTTCTATAAAGTATGAAAGATGAGACAATACCTTCTATAAAGTCAGGCCTTTCATTGGTCTATCTGCCCCAGTATTGTCTGCCCTGACTGGCTGCCACTCTCCAGGGTCTTGGGCAGTGGAAGGTAATCATTTGCACTGGATATGCCCGCAATTACATTTGGGGCTCTTCTGTATGCAAAGTACATGCTCTGCTACTGAGTGAAGGCCACTCCCTCAGACCAAAGAAGACGGTCCTTCAGACAGGTAGATGGGGCCCAATACTAAAACCCCCATCTTCAATATACTATCAACATTAAGCAAGGCTTGCTTCCAAGTGAACGTACCCCCTACGTTTGTGACAATGCTTCCTCAAGGACCTTTCTTGGGAAGCAGCCGTCTTTCCGAGATGACTGTAAACCCCCTCCCATAGATCATCCTCACCGACTGGCAACTAATGGCTTCCATTTACAAGAGCCGTACTGACCAAGTTCCCACTCCCCTCCATATCATCACATTCCTCCCTTTCTGTCCTTTGTGGAGATGGTCGGCCAGTCAGTCTCGGACACACTGGCTCGTGGTCTCCAGTGGCAGGCGTGAGCCATTCCCACCTAAGCTTCTCCTTTTGTTCCTTACCTCCCATTTGCCGGGGTCTGGTGTGTCAATAACATGAGAGTATTTCTTGTTACCCCTCATACTAGTTCGTGGCCAAGTACAGGCTCCGAGCTCCAAGAGGCTGCCTTTGCCCTAGCCTTATCAGGTCTCTGCAGTAATGATTAATCCTGACTAGTTAAATTTCAAGCTCCTCTATCTCTCTGCACCCCACAGGTGGGCAGAAGTCCCTTGCTTATCTTCAAAGGGGACCCAAACTCTGCCCTTACCAGATCCCGGAGGGCACGGTTGGCCGCTTGCGTCATTCCTGGCTCTCCTAGAGGAAACGGACACCCAAGCCACTGCTGCGCAGCCGCACTCCACACCAGGGTTATGTATAAGATCCATAAGCGAGAGTGTGGAAAGGCTGTGGGCTGAAAGAGGACAGGCGGCTTCCTGTGCAGGTGTTATGTCCAGGCGTCTCTGGGCCCAGCAGGCGGCAATGAATCTACTTCCCTTTGAAATTTCCCCTCTCATCCCAGAATCCCAGATGCTGGAGAGATCAATTAGCTGGGAAGATCTAGTAGCTGGGGAGCTGAAGATTGGCAAAGGGATTGGCATGCCACCAACCGGCACAGTCAGGGTCAGAATTGGGGGACAGGAATTTGCAGCTCTGGAATATGGAGTGTCTTCCCATTTTGCAGTTGGTTTATCTCACTCCGAGCTGGTAAACCGGTAAGAGAGACATGCCTCACAGGGCTCCTCTTGTAAAGGCAGAGCTGACCACCGCTGCTCAAACACAGAACCCACTATCTACCCACTGCGGCATGCCCTGGAGCCTGGGACATGCAGCAAAACAAGCTTGTTTGCACCAGGTCAGGGTCAAAGGCCCGCTGCCATCACATGATCACTGCGTGCACCCTCACCTTCTAGCTGATGTCAGAGTCAAGGACAGTGCACGGCTGTGCCTCAAATAGCAAAAGGGCTGGAAGGGAGTTTTCAGGAGAGGGGGAGGTGCTCAGTGGGAGGACATTTACTTTGCATGCAGAAGGTCCCAAGTTCAATCCCCGGCATCTCCAGGTAAAAGAAGGGGGAAAGACCTATGCCTGAGACCCTGCAAAGCCACGGCCAGGTCAAGTACGCCAGGGGTTCCCAGCCTTTCTGAGCATGCAGGCACTTTTGGAATTCTGACACAGCATAGTGGGCCCTGCCACAGAATAGCTGCCACAGCTTACCTTCAGTCACAAGGAAGAGCCTTGTGCTATGAGGGCAGCTGCTGCCCAAGCAATGTCTTTACGAATCTGAGCAGCCAATCAAATCTCCAATGGCCAGTCAGAAGCCTCGCTGGGCAAAAGCCCTACAGGGCCCCACTCCCTTTCTAAAAACACCAGGAAAGGTATTGGTGTTGTTAGATCGCGCTAACAAAGGACTCGTAGAGTGATTCAGCAAGTGATTCAGCTTTATTGGAAGTAACGAACAAGCACTAAACTCAGTAAGAAACCAGAACAGAAAACAGTGGGAGCTTATGCTCCTTTTAAACATAACCGGGCTAATGTAGCCACGCCTATTTACAAATAACAACCAATGAGATTGCTAGAATAAAGACCAATGGGAGTCTTTCCCTCCTAGGGAATGGTACCGTTCTGATTGGTCGCTGTTACGAAGCGACCAATAGGAAGTTCGCTCAGAGGAGCCCTGGTCTGGCTCGAAGCTTAACACGGGAGTCCTATGAGGTGATTCATGTAATCATGTATTTGCTTTTTAATTTCCTCCATATCTAATTTCATTTGTTGTGATATTTCAGTAATGGACTTCTGGATTGGCTCCAGCTCCTGCTTTCTCATCTCATTAATTTGTGTCTGTAATGGTTCAATTTCTTTTTTCAATAGTACTGGCAGGGAATCTTCAATTATATGTTTAGTTGTTTGTTCCACAATTTCCTTAATTAGATTTCTCATTTCTTTGCTCTGCGCCTGTCCAGAGCTCATTGTACCAAATTTAAGTTGAGTTTGACTACTAGCCTGGCCAGGTGAAGTTAGTGAACCTTTCCTGGGTCCGCTCCCTCCCGTGGCCATTTATGATTATTTAGGAAATAATTTGTTTTACGTTCCCTTCCAGGCAGCTCACTCTCCTAATGACACTTTTGTACTTTTGTATTTTCGTAGCTATAATATGAAGTTTGGACTCTCCACTAGCTTAGTACTTTTGTACTGTTATGCTTTTCCTCTTTGCTCTCTCACCCTTTACTATTCAGTATTCCTTGTGTACTATACAGCAATCTCTCATCACACTATGCACTGTCTCTTTAATTAATGTTGTACCAAAAAGAAATAGTAATAATAATAATAATAAGATGCTTTTTTCCTTTTCCTTTTCTTTACCCTTGTTTTTTTTTCTTTCAAAATACACAAGTACTTGATTTATCTGATAACTATTTATCTCTCCACTTTCCGGCACTTGCTTCAGTGCACGGGCTGTTCCCTAAGTCAATGCTTTCCCAGGCTTCTTCTTTCCGCTTCTTCCTTTCGTCTGCGCAGGCGTCTGCCTTTGCACTCGGCCCCCTCCTTCTCCGCGTCTCCGATCTCCTCTTTTTTCCAATCCCTTCGGCTTTTTCCGACGTCCCTCGTTGTCCTTACGGTCCCTCTGCGCACGCGCACCGCACCACACGGCTACAGGCACCCGGCACAGCTCTCCGCCCCACTCTCCGCTCGTCCTCGCGTCACTCCGTCACTCCGAGTCCGTCCGGCACGCCCTCTCCGCACGTCCGCACGTCCTCACTCCCCTCTCTTCGCACGGCCCCGCACCTCCGCTCATGCACAACACCTGGAAGACAGCGCTGCGTTACTCCGTGTCAGGAAGGTAGTTAGAAGCTTTCCCCCCCTCTTCCCTTCGTTTAACCCTTCACCTTATTAAAAACACCTGTGATTTAAATTTCTGGCCGCTTAAAGGGACCCACCTTTCACCAAGTTTGCTTATGGGTTTTTAAGCTAATATTTTATAGAAAATAGTTCTTTGCCACAATGATTCCTTTAGTAATGTTTTCAGGATACTTAACTTCGGTTATTTAGGACCTTCTCTAGATGTGACTCTTCCTCGTCTCCTCGGCTGCGTCTTGAGCTCGTCGTCAAGCGTCGAGCGTTCTTTTGTCTCCCGCTTTAGAGGCGTTTTCCAGCGTCCAGGAAGGTTGCCTGCCTTTCCCTTTAGCTAGAATGAAAGCCCCTTGCTTTCTTTCCCCCCCTCCAAGGCGAAAAGTTCAGGGGGTTTGGTAGTTCTCTCCCCAAAAAGACAAATAGAAAGGCAGTGGCTCCGCAGCAAAGCTGCAAACGTCCACCCTCGACGAAACCGGAAACGGAACCCAGATATATATATATTTTTTTAAAATGGGGAATATTTCCCTTGCCCTCGCTAGATTCAGTGCACGCCCTAGAGCTATGAAAAGAGCAAATCATTACACCTCACATGCCGTTCCCATTTGAAAGCCAGCGTCTGAGTGGCAGGCCTCTTGATTCAGGGAAGGGACTCCATTTAGGCTGCAATCTTAACAACACTCTCCTGGAGTCAGCCCCATTGGGACTTACTTCTGAGTAGACATGATTAGGATGTAGCTCAAGATGGGTAGCCGTGTCAGTCTGTCTGTAGCACTAGAAAGGAGCATTCTCACTGTATTTGAAGAAGTGAACAGTGACTCCCGAAAGCTCCTACCCTGCCACAAATTTTGTTAGTTTTGAAGGTGCCACTGGACTCTGGCTCTTTTCTATGACTAGGATGGTTTCTCTAGTCTCTCCAGTTTTGGTTCACATGCAGTTATTCCTCAAGAGAACCTAGCCTCTGCCCCACTCACTGTTTCTGCACACTACACGACTATAGCTTTAAACAACATATGTAAATCAAAAGGCAGTTAGTCTGATGCAGTTATTGAGGATCTTTAAAAAAAAAAACTCACAACAGATGCTTTTATTTGTTTATATACGAAATTTATATCTGGTCTTTGTGCCCTCACAAGGGACAGCAGGATGGCTAACAAATTAGAACATGCATAATAAAATCAATATGAAAAATGTCATTAAAACAATAAAAACAGAGCTAAAATACGTACAGAGATGACATTGGGGGGAGGGTCACTGAGAGAATGCCAAACAAAACAAAAAAGTCTTCACCCATTGGAGGAGATTGGCAGCAGAAAGGGACTTTTTAAAATCTCCCCTTATGCGCTCTGAACTTGGATATATTTATGAATGGGAGTTTATTTACCCAAAAACAAAGCAGCTTACCATTTATTTATTTTTTAAACCCACAAGCTAGAGATACATTATCTCTAGACTTTGTTATTAAGGTGATCTTTCTCTGTTTCCCTCTCTATATTGATGGTTTTTATTCGCAAAACGAAAAGGAACAATATCATTAAAAAAAGGAGAGATTGCTGTCGTTTTCTTGCATCAAGCAGGGTTAAATCTGCATTTCAGCTCCGCTTCGTGGGCTAGCAGGAACAGCCTGGCTAGGTTGTCAGCCCCAGGACGGGAAATACCTGGAGATTTGGGGGGTGGAGTCTGAGGAGGGTGGGGCTTGGGGAGGGGCGGGACCTCAGTGGGGTAGAATGCCATACAGTCCACCTTCCAAAGTGGCCATTTTCTCCAGGGGAACTGACCTCTGATGCCCGAAGATCAGTGGTAATCGCAGATCTCCAGCCACCACCTGGCCATTGGCAACCCTAGGTGTGGCTGTCACTGTCTCCAAGCCCCAGAACTCAAAACTGTTATGAACATATGAATTTAGGCAGATCATGAGAGGGAGGACGGGGAGGGCTTCACCAGTGCTTAGTTCTTGTGGCCGTTTCTTACATGCCCAGGGAAATGCCCATCACCACTTTGGGGTCAGGAAGCTATTTTTCTCCTGGCAGTTTGGCCAGAGATCCTGGAGGTTTTTTGTCATCTTCTGGGCGTGGAACAGGGATCACTGCGGGGGTGGAGGGGGAGGTATTGGTGAATTTCCTGCATTGTTTACAGGGTTGGACTAGATGACCCTGGAGGTCCTTTCCAACTCCATGATTCTGATTCTATGATTCTACGTTCAGCTTGGAAATAAGTTCTCGAGCACCCACTGAAACA